TGCCCAGTGCAACAGATTTATTCATACAGACATTTGATTTAATTTTCAAATATTTACTTTCTATTTTGAAGCGTTCCATCAAATTTTACCTGAGGAAGAACTATTCAAAAGTTTGAAAATGTTTGTGATAGACTGTGTTTTTTCATGAGGAACACCAGTAACAGGTTCCAGCAGTAAATATTGCTAATTTTAGCTTTGTACTAATGATAAATTTAATTTTAAATGTAAGCATTATTTTTGTTACAATTTATTTTATTTAAAAATTTATTTAAAGAAAAAAAAAACAAAATTATAATTTCAAATTCAGAGTATGAATTAACATTCTTGAAAATTTTTAAATTTTTTTGATTGACATATATGATATATTAGCTATTATTTTTCTTATTTGAAAGCCTATTAAATGACTATTATTTCAGATATTATGACAGACAAAATATATTAATAATTCTGAAAAAACAGAAATTGATATCTTTTTACATATTACTTGACAAATTAATAATTTTAAAAAAAATAATATCCTTAAATCAGTATGTCAAAGATCAACTGATGTAAATGAAATTTTATTGGAATGTTAGCAAAATTCAAATAATATACAGTAAATGTATTAATATGTTCACAAGAAAAAATAATTTGAAACTAAATTTGTAATGTGTTCATAATACTTTGATTTTAATTTGTTTTGTTCTGCATTATATATACCTGAAGATGTCTGTTATATGCAGATGAAAAAATTAGTAATTTGAGGCATGCTGATGTAGGTATCTTGTATGTATGTGTTTAAATTAATATATACCAGTTTTATATATATAATTTGCATATAATATATATTATATAATATACTAGCTTACCCATCGCGCACTGCTGCGATCTCAGAAGAAACGAAATTCAAGCAAACTCGTCATGATAAAATTAAATTTACATTTTATCATTTTTATTGAAACTTATTATTATATTATTATTATTATTATTATTATTATTAATCGGGAAACATTTCAAAGTGTCGTTTCAGTTCTATTTATTTATTGGAATGCTTGTGGATACACGATATTTTTTGTTTTTCCATCTGGTGCGTACACGAATAAATCGGAAAGTTTTCCGACGCGTGAGCTGGCCACATATAGTTGTACATCAGTTGTACACAGATTCTTTAAATTTAGCCCACATACTCACAGAGATTGTAGGTAATAATAATATTATTATGTGTTGGGTTTAGTGGGTTATACTCGGTACACACCGGTGGCTGTGTACTATGCCGGACCAGAGTCAAGGCATAGCAACCAACACAAAACTAAAATTAAATGTGTGTGTCAGTGTCTGTATTAAGGAATTTCCTAACAATATGGCATGTATTCAATATAGTGGCCTTCTGTAGTGTGATGTATGTATTTCTACTCAATTGTAATGTTCCCAGGCTTTTGTGTAGCGTGTGTGGTATCACACCTGTACAGGAGAGAACGACAGGTACAATAAGCACCCTATCCATCCTCCACAGATGCCT